CCTCTCACGCTGCTTGGCCTGCTGTGTTCATCCAGCTCTACACCTTGTTACCTCAGATTCTCCAGCATCGGCAGTTCCTACTATCTCTGAATCAATAATTTTCCGTCATGTATTGTTCAGGCCTGTTGTGTGAATTTGTTCTTGCTGAAATGAAGAGGTTAATCCTTGAAGCCAGCAACTGCTTTTGTTTCTGTATTTGAATAGCTGATATTTTACCAGACGTATAGGCTTTAAAAGAGAGAGAGAAAGTTTCTTGTTTCTCACTAATTCTGTGGTTAGCGCATTTGCAGATTGTCTGTGCTTTTTCAGCCTTTCCTCTTTAGTTGAGAATTCTCTTCTCCTTTGATGTTGCCTACCAGTGATCTTCAGGGAAGTTCCAATTATAAAATGGTGTTTCACCTTTGATGTACTTCACACCTAAGATGGCTGCTTAAGTGTTAAGAAATTGTGGTCCCACATAACACAGTCAATTATGCCGGAATTCCCTGTTCTGTCCAGTATCTTGCTTGGCTCAGAAGGTTTAGATTTTGACATCTTAAAAACAGTGTAATTGAGTTCCAGATGGATCTCTTTGTGACTGCTATTGAGATATCAAATCAGTCTGCCTGCTTTTTGGCTGGTTGCAATAAATGAAGAAGAATCAGGCATATAACTTCTGGCAGCCATTTTTATGTGTTGAGTCTATTATTTAACATCAAATTAACCTTCTTTATAAAATATACAATATTTAACTACACATTCATGACATTGTTTGAAAAGGATTTGGCTGGGTTAGGAGTTGTTCAGAGAAGGCTCACTTGGCTCATTTCTTGGGTATGAAGGACTTATCCGATAAAGAAGGGTCCACATCAGATTGGGCCAAAATCCATTGGAATTTGAAGGATTGGGAACGGATTTTATTGAAACATAAAAGATCCTGAGGTGACTTAATAGGATGGACCAGGAGGTTTGAACTCTTTTGGGGGAGACTGAATCTAGTGGACTCAGTATAAAAAATTAAAGGTCAGAGATGACACTTTTTTTTTCTCTCAGAGGGTAGTTAGTCTGTCGAATACTCTTCCCCACGAAGCAGTGGAGTCTGGGTTGCTAAATTTTCCAAGGCTGATTTAGATTGAATTCTGAGACACGGAACTCAATGTTTTGGGGGGCAGACTGGAAGTTGGAGTTGAGACCACAATGCAATCTGCCATGATCTTATTAAATGGTGGAGCAGGCTCATAGAGCCAAATGGCCTACTCCTTTTCCTAGGTTCTGTGCTCCTGTGTTCCCGTGCTGCTACTGAGAAAGACCACACAACTTACAGGCAAACATTAATAATCTTACAGAATGGACAGATGATGCAGTACATTTTCATTCCAGTTGATGTCATTACTGAACTAGTCATATCCCAGATAGAAATCTAAACTCAAACCTCTTCCCTTTGTTCCTTTCATTCAGAGTGTCTTAGTAACCAGACATTCTCCAGAACATTGTCCTTTCTTTAGGGTACAAACTTATACACATAGCAACTGTTTGAAACATGAGTTTTGAGTACGTGAACTGCCCGAAGATCATGAAGCAGGGATTCTTTATTCCACTAGCATCACTGGTCATTACAAACATGAAGAAAAATCAAGGTTAAGCATGGAACACACCATGTTTTTGGGGAATTATGCCTATCAACAGTTATAGGGAAAAAGCAGAAAGTGTAGTTGAAGGTCATCAGATTAGCCATAATCTCATTGAATGGAAGAGTAGACGTGATGGGCTGAATGGCCTACATCTGCTCCAGCATCTAATGATTTGTATCTGGTTGTGGGAATCCTTTGTCTGTCTGATTCTTCTACTCTAGAGGCCTCCTTCTACCAAAGACACTCTTTCCTCCAGAGAGATTCTGTTCAACTGCTTCAACTGACCTGCTCAGTGTCCTCCCTCACCATCTCCACCTGCTGCTGGATGTCCTGTCACAACCATTCGAGCTGCCCCACTCAGCATTCTTGGTGCCATTGCCATCTGTTACAGGAGGTTCCATTTCACACTTCCCTGTTTGCTATTTGCTGTTCTGACAACTACACATAGCATACAGTGACCATCTACTAAACAGTTTTGTGATTCAGTTATACCATAGCGGCTAGAGTTACACCAAGTGGGAACTGTGTTGCATGTGACACATGAAGCTCTAGCCAGGCCTGATGTCAACCAGTGGGAGACAGTTGGCATGAGTCTTCAAGAGAGGTGATGGTGTTGGGGAAGGTAGAAGATCAACCCCAATTCCCTGGTGCTCAAACAGTTCTAGGGTCCTGTACAGGTTGATACAGCATGAGTGTACAGAGCAAGGTCAAAGACTTCTGAATACCATCTGCTGACCTTGTAATGCGCTATTCATAGCAGTCACCATGCGTGCCTTACAAGGATGCCTGGATGGCTCTTAATATGTTCAACCCAAAACCACATCCTCACTTAAATGGGATTTTCAATCAGGTCATGAATTACCAGAAATCCCAGACAATGAAAAGGATGTTTGAGGACAGATAGGAAGAGGTCATGCTAAAGGGTGGTCTGATCCAGATGCGTGAAATGATATCAATCAGATCACATGTCTCAGCAAGAGTTTGAGAACACTACCACCTTCAAGCTCCCCTCCAAGCCTCAACACCATGCAAACTTGGAAACATGCTGTTATTTCTTCAGTGCCACTGGGTCAAACTCCTGGAATTCTTTCCCTAGCAGCATTGTAGGCTTACCTGCACTAAATGGACTGCAGTAGTTCAACAAGGCAGTTCACCGCCATCCTCCCAAGAGTAATGAGGGATGAGCAATAAATGCTGGCCCAGCTATTGATGCTCACATCCCACGTCAACCTTATTGGCATGATTTGATGCCTGTGCTGTTGAGTCCTGCCGATTATGCCAGAAATGTAACAGTGAGATTTGAACACACGGATAACCTAAAGATTATGAAACAGATTAGTTTTTCCACTGGCATCAGGTCATTACAATCTTGAAAGTAACATTCATTCAATAATGAATGAGTGGTTCTTCAACAATGACGATCAGAACACACTACTGCCTGAACCTAGGCTAGTACACACAGGTTTCTTAGTTCACACACACCTTTGTTCACAAGCATACCTTCCTCGGCAAGTGTACACAGACCAGTGTTGCAGTCAGATTTTAACCCTTTATTTGTATATTCCTGGAAGGGCACAAAATAAAAATTGTCTGCAAAGGGTTGCTTTCTACTGAGAGAGTAAGATAGACAGCCCCTCCCCTCATTATTTCTTCCTACTAGCTCTTTCTCTAATTGAAGTTTCCCTGACTCTTTACAGGTGCAACATTCCATGAATCCCAAACAGGACTTTGCTAGACTGCACTGAATACACATCCACAGTCTCTACTTGTCTATTACAATCTTTTTTTAAAAAAACATATTTTGGAATTAAAGGTTAAAAGTTTCCACAGTATTTTGGAATTCCAAACCATTGTCATGACATTGTTGAGGGAGAATATTCAGGCTTCTGTACTGTAAGACCCAGTTATGTAGAGTACTTTAAGATACAATAAACCTATTGATGTTTTAACATACCAATAACTCAGTAATCTTTCCAAAGCTAAATGAGCAACAAACAACATCCTCCAAATCCACAGTGCTGTGAGATATCTGTGCTCCTCTAAGTCTGGCTTCTCGAGCATCACCAATATTAACTGGTACATCATTGATGCCATACTTTCAAATGCCCAGGTCCTAAATGCTAGAATCCTCACTATATACGATTATACCTATCTATCCCATTTCCTCTTTCAAGACAATCCCTAAAATCTACCTGATGACCAAGCTTTTGGTTACCCAACTTAATTTCTTCTTATGTAACATGATCTCATATTCTGATATGTATAATGCTCCTGTGAAGTGTCTTGAGATATTATATTTCTTTAAGGGTACCATATGAACATACAATGATGGTATTGTGCTACTTGTGTAGTTGTTGACTTGCATTTCTAATGCTTCATCCAATACAGTTTAGGTTCAGATTAGAACAGGGAAGTGGGAACTGTTGTCAAATGTTTTCTTTTGCACAAATAATGATGAAGATATGATATAAATATCTTCATATGATAATGGAGGTAAAAGTCTTGGGATCAATGAAAGTAGGTAGAGGTCTTGATGGGGGATTGACAGATTCTTTCTGGATGAACGAACAGGATTGACTAAACAGTCTTCCTAATTTTTATTTAATTTCTGCATTTTCGGTACATTCATTCACAGCAATTCAAATAATTATTACAAAGGTACAAAACAGATTGAATTCCCTTCCTGCGGAACTAAACTCAAAAATGTGATCTGAAGGGTATTTGTAAGCTAAGTTGACCCACTAGAAACTTGCATTGATTATATAGACTAGAAATTCAGCCTTGTAATAGAGTCATAGAGACAGAGATATACAGCATGGAAACCATCGGTCCAACTTGTCCATGGCGAGCAGGTATCCTAAATTAATTTAGTCCCATTTGCCAGCATTTGGCCCATATCCCTCTAAATCCTTTCAATTCATTTACCCATCCAGATTCCTTTTAAATGTTGTAACTGTACCAACCTCCACCACTTCCTCTGGAAGTTCATTCCATACACGCACCATCCTCTGTGTGAAAAACCTGCCCCTTAGGTCCCTTTTAAATCTTTCCCATCACATCTTCAACCGATGCCCTCTAGTTTTGGACTCCCCTACCCTGGGGAAAAGACCTTGGCTCTTCACCCTATCCATGCCCCTTATAACTTCTATAAGGTCACCCCTCAGTCCAGGGAGAATAGCCACAGCCTATTCAGCCTTCTTAAAGCTCAAACCCTCCAGCAACATCCTTGTAAATGCTTTCTGATCCCTTTCAAGTTTCACAACATCTTTCGTACAGCAGGGAGACCAGAACTGAACACAGTATGCCAAAATCTGCATGTTTATCTCACCATTACAATGAATGTCTGGAGAACCCGGTGAGTGAAATTGAATTACAAATTCAGGTCTGAGGAAATATGGATTTAGAATCTATTTGGGGAAACCAGTACAAATAATTGTAAAATTGGAGCCTTGTCAGAACAGCTGATCGATCTTAAACATTAAATTTGTTGCATTGAGTGAAGCATGAGAAATATAAGCCAATTCTTATCCAATCACCGAAACACATCAACTTATAAATGTACACTACCTGCCATGTAATAAAACATCATAAGAGTCTTCACAGGAATGGTATCAATCAAAATATAACATTGCGTCACATAAGGAGAAGTTAGGTCAATTGATCCAAAGTTTGGACAACACGTTGCTGTGGAGGGAGAGAATTCATGACCTTAGAACCTGGCAGCTGAAGAACAGTCAGTAATTCTGGAACAATTAACATTGGTGATGCTCAACAAGCTAAAATTAGAAAAGTGCAGATACCTCACGGAGTTATGCAGCTGGAGATAACAAAGATAGGAATGTGCAAGGCCATTGAGGGACATGAAAACAAGAATAAGAACTTTAATATCTAGATGTTGCTTGACCAGGAGCCAATGCAGATCAGCAAGATCAAGAGTAAAAAATGAATGGAATATGGCTGAGTTAGGGTATGGGTTGCAGACCTTTGGATGACCTCACATATATTTTCACTGTTCAACTTCAATTAGCTTTTAATTTCAAGATTTGTAAACTATGTTTCATTTCTTAACTTTGTCTGGATGAATATATGAATAGGCAGGGTTTAGAGGGATATGGGCCAATAGTGGTTAGGATTTGATGCTCTCACCGCCGTGGCCTGGGTTCATTTCCCAATCAGGGAACATGTTCTGGGGTGGCATGGTGGCTCAGTGGCTAGCACTGCTACCTCACAGAGCCAGGGACCTGGGTTCGATTCCAGCCTCGGGTGACTGTGTGGAGTTTGCACTTTCTCCCCGTGTCTGCATGGGTTTCCTCTGGGTGCTCTGGTTTTCTCCCACAGTCCAAAGATGTGCAGGCTAGGTGGATTGATCATGCTAAATTGCCTGTAGTGTTCAGGGATGTGTAGATTAGGTGGGTTGTTGGGGGATGGGTCTGGGTGGGATGCTCTGAGGGTCAGTGGGGACTTGTTGGGCCAAAGGGCTTGTTTCCACACTGTATGGATTCTAAATTAAGATTAATTAAGAATATCTGGTCGGCATGGACAAGTTGAACCATAGGGTCTATATTGGTGCTGTACATCTCTATGCTGTAGTTATTCATTCCCATAATAAAAGCAGCAAAGAGGCAATGCAGTGAGACTCATTTACAGTCAAAAAGCCTTTAATTTCTAGTTTGTTATCATAGGCTATTAAGCCAGAGTCAATAGAACGTGTGTTGAGTGAGTAGACAGGTTTAAGCACTGTCAAAGCATACATGTATACACATGCATATTTTTACAATTTATTTTGACCACAGCATTACAGTGGTTGCAAAGTTAGAGTGGTTGCAAAGTAGTTTGTGGTTTGATGTGACAACAGAATTTCAATATAAATTTAGTCTCAGGAATTCACACAGAAACCTATGTGTTATTATCAAGCATTTGATGCATTGAGTCACTCCTACATGATCTTAATATTGAAGCTCCGCTGCTGTGATAGATACCTCCACACCTCAAAGGTTTGACATTTGCGGTAGTCACCTACACATTCAATGTTGCATTGGTTTGACGTTCTCCAAAGTTCTGCAACTGATCCATTCTGCTGTGTGGGTTGATGTGTTAAGCCACTCTGAATGAGATGGCAACTGCCTCCATATATTACATTCAGTAGATTTTCCGTTGCTTGGTTTATAATTTTTGAATTAAAAGAATTCCTGGGAACATCATGGTTCAAAATTTTGGTACTGGTTACTTGCACTAGAGTGTACCTCCATGTGTACATTGCTAAAAGCAAAGTAAGGGTTAAATAATAGTTATGTGTGCATGTTTCTGTGAAATATAGGACTAAATGTTTAACTGTTTTTCTATGTTCAAATGTTTAGTATTCATAGTTGCTTTTCTATTAGAGTAGTTGGTGGTATCTGGTTTGCCATACTTACAAAAAATTCAGCATAATTTTATTGGTAGGCAATGAGAAATGCTTAGATTTGTTTTTTTTTTCATCTATGAGATGTGAGCACTACTGACAGGACCAACTTTTATCATACCCATCTGTAATTGTACCTGAGCCATCTTGAGCCACTGCCGACCACATACTCTACGCAGTGCTTGTTCTGGAGGAGTTCCATGTTCTGAACACAATTACAGTGAAAGAATAGTTTCAAGTCAGGATGGCAAAAGTCTTAGAGGGGAATTTGCAGGTAATTGTGTTCCAGCTGTTTTGTTCTTCTAGATGGTAAAGATTGGGGGTATGGAAAAAGGAGCATTAGCAGGCGTTACAATTTTACTACTTATGCTATGAAGAGAATGGTTCCTCTAGTGTATCCACATAACTGGTACCCCTCTTTACTGGGACCATTCTAATAAACTTGAAAAGAACCCTCTGGCAGAGGCCAAACTAATGATTTTTGATTTAATATAATTTAGTTTCAATTCTAGGTTCTCCTGACTTCCAGAATACAAAAACAATTAAACTATGCTAAATCATAAATCATCATCAGTTTGGCCTCTGTTGGGATATTCTTTCTGATAAAGAACCAAAAGAACTACAGATGCTGGAAATCAGAAACAAAAAATTGAAATTGCTGGAAAAACTCAGCAGGTCTGGCAGCATCTGTGGAGAGAAAGTAGAGTTAACTTTTACGGTTCAGTGACCCTTCTTCAGAATGATTGAGTTCTGACCTGCTGAGTTTTCCCAGCAATTTCTGTTTTGTTTTGTATTCTTTCAAAGTTGGAAAGCATGGAAAGGATTTAGTGTCGACTTAGAAGAGATATTCAAAATGATCTCACACTTTGACAAAGTAAATAGGAAGAAATTGTTTCCAATGGCAGAAGGATCAGTACACAGGAGCCTAGGTTTCAGATGATTGGCAACAGCCAGAAGTAAAAGCAGGCTGACGAAGCATTTCTTTTCACACAGCAAGTTGTTATGATTTGTCATGAACTGCAAACAAGGGTAGTGGAAGCACATCCAGATAAAAAAACTCTCAAAAGTGAATCAGTAAAGTATCAATTGGGGAAATATCACAAGACTGTGAGGAAATATCTGGAAAATTGAACTAACTGGACAGCCCTTCCAAAGATTTGGCACAAATGTATGGTGTCCTTGCTGTTCTTTTCTATGATCAATGGGAAGTATATTGCTCTTTGGAAGGGTAGTGTGGACTCAATAGGCTGATTGGCTTGCTTCCACATTGTAAGGATTTGATGATTGTATCATGAGTGTGGCACTTGAAAGGTAGTGGTCAGAGTGCCATAGAAATGAATGATCACTAATTCTTGGTTATCATTAGCTTTACAAAAAAAAAGTCATTTTACATTGTTGAGGCTAAACAAGAGAAATTTACTAATTTCCTAGCTAGTGCAGGTAAACTGCTTACTGACCTCTGCCAATATCCCTCTGTAATTAGAGATGAAGCTATGGGCACAGCTGATATGTACCTTGACCTCCCTTGCCTTCTCAAAGGTGTCAGGCCTAGTAAAGGGGGTTTGGGGGAAGTTGTTTTGACGGGCCCAACCCTCCCCAAATATAAATTGAACCTCCTTATCACACTTATTCTGCATAACATGGACAGTTTGCCAACGCTAAGTAAGTGTTAGCATTCATAATTGTTTATTCTGACTAAAAATTATGAAAGGCGACACGAATGGATAGCAGGTGT